TTAGCAGTCTTCCGAACAACCATATTCCCTACTACAGAGCGTGTACACTGCAAACTCGTGATCATGGTAAGCTACATTCACTTCCCGCTCTATGCGCGATTCTAACATGTCCATCAGCAGGCCATGACACCCATCACCCCGCTGGAGCCGGGCGTGGAAATGTTCGAACGAGGAAAGGCGCAGTCGTTCTTTTCTAGTGCTCTAACGATCCGGTCATCGCTGGAACGTCCACTTTCGCATATTAGTGTCGCATATACAGATATCGAAGATGATTCTAGCGAATTTGAGGAATTCAGTGGCTCGTCTGTATGTTTTCCTTGCTCTGACTGCATACGCGACACTGACCCCACAAAGAGCGACAACAGGCGAAGTCAAACAACGATATCGACATTCGAGGAAGTACAGACTCCTGGGGAAGAGGTACGGCCGCAGTTCGCCTATTGGCCGGAGCGAAAGTCAGTAGAAGGTCCTAAAGGGCCACACCTCTTCCGTGCTTCAGTATCATCCAACGACTTTCTATACGACGACGCCCAAGTAATGCAAATGTCGCCTTTACTGCCAAAAGAAACTCCACTCCGTCATCCGACCTCGTTCCGAGAGGCGACTCCCGAAACCATCGTCCCTCAGAGGGAGTACAACAACATCGCTCTGGCAGTTGCCCACTTGGACAATGCCGAAGTGCGTGCCTGGACTTCCAAGGATGTGGCCACCTGGATGTATCAAAATGGGTTTGAAGACGATGTAATTGACAAGTTCATCCAGCACGATATCTCAGGTGCTGTTTTGCTAGATTTGCAATTCGACGATCTGAAGGAATTGGAAATTCAGTCCTTCGGCAAGAGGCATCAATTGTGGAACCAAATCGACTCGCTGCGCACCGCGGATGGCCTGATGTCGCCAACTGCTCCAGCAGCCATCCCAACTCCATTCGAGGACATCGAACGGCCGTGCACAGAGGCAAGGAACAGGTCCAAGAGCAAGGGCCGAAAGGCTAGTCGGCGCGACAAGTCGCGAGGGCGTCACTTAACAGACGATGTTATTACTCCTGCACATTCCGTCTCGATCGTAGCAATCGAACAACTACTACCTAAGCCGCACGTATGCGCAAAGGGTGAACGATGCGCCAAATGGAGGAAACAACAAAGGCAGCTTGCCCGACTTCAACAGGAACACGGCTTTCCTATTTCGCCCGAGAAGGGTGGTCATATCTTCATTGCTGGCGACCCAGGCAACCCCCACACAGCATCTCACGTAGTGGAGAACGTCCACCGCCCGAATTCAGAAGCTACTCCTTCCGTTGTGGTACCGTCCGTGGTAGCATCGTCCGATGTGTTGGGGCCTGGCCAGCTACCTGACTTTACTCTTCAGGACCTACAAAAGTTCGAGCAACGCGACCCGCAAGACAACGTACGACAGTTTCTTACCCTACAGGGTCAGCAGCAGCCCTTCGTCAGCGCTACTCCAATTGAGGCTCCCCCAACTCCACCTACAGAATCATACCCACCCCGGCCCTTCTTGGTGATACCACAGCAACAGCACTACCCGCAGGTTTCAGCCTTTTCTGCATCTACGTCGGCGCATACCACAAAGTCATTCGATCCTTTTAGCCAGACACCTTCAACTCCAGCTCTGCATCCCCCAGAGTTTATGCCGGCTCCTCACTCGAACCTCAAGAGCCTCCCCAAATTGACGATCCCCCCGGCACGTTCAATGTCTGCCCAGCCTGCTGGTAATCCACGCAGTGGAATCCCAACACACCAGTACCTCGCACCCGACACCGCTTTCTCGCCATGTAGGACGGCGTCACCGGGCGGGGTCTACCGGTTCGGTACGCCGTTCTCTGAGATGGACGTCCCTGTGACTGCTGTGCAATACGAGCCACTTAGTCGTGACACAAGCCAGTCCGTGCCTCCGAACATGCAATACCAACCCCAAATTCAAAGGGTTGGATCGCGTCATGACCGGCGACGCCCTTCGTTGCCCATGCCCGTTCTTGCTGAAGATCGCGTATTCAGCCCAACAGCCCACTCGGACGACGACACCCTGCGGGGGACCATCTTTGACGATTCCATCAGTACTAGTGATAGCGCTAGCTCGTCGCCACTCAAAGCCACTAAGCCGTTCGATAGCGAAGCTGGCGACACTATTGCGCCTTTGCCCAAGGGAGGCTTCGTGTACAAGGGTGTGAATCACCACGGCTGGATGAAGAAGCGACGTACCAAGCTTCTGCGTCACGAATGGCAAGACCACCACTTCCGCCTTCAGGGCACGATGCTAGCTATGCATCCCAACGAGCTGCCGTCTTCCTCCGCGTTGCAGACCATTGATGTGGATGATTATGCCGTAGCATGCTCATCACTCGCTTCCAACAAACTTTCCGCCAAATTCAAGGCTCTGAAACTTTCTTCCGGTCACCACAAGGAGAAGTCTTCCGCTTCCACTCCCGCATTCGAGTTTCAGCTTGTACCTGCTGCACCTGGAAAGGGCGACGTCAAGAAGGTTATGCCGAATGGCAAGGTGCAGCACTTTGCCGTAACCACCAAAGACCAGAGGATCGACTGGATGCGCGAGCTCATGTTGGCAAAGGCCTTGAAAGCTAAGAGCGATGGCTACGAAGTCAATGTCAACGGGGCCAACATGTGATCGCTGCACCAGCGTGCACCTCATCTCTTCCTTATTGTTTCCAGGTATCTTTTTTTGTCTAGCAAGCGAGCGTGTTTTCTGTCCGTTGTTGATTTTGCGCAATCTCCTCTTCCTTAGTCCGATCATGACCCGCTATTATACCCTTTCCGTTGACGCTTTTTGCTATACGCCGCATGTTACTGTTCATTGTGTCTTCTCCCAATCTCTTGGAGACAGCGTATATTTGTTTTCATTACTACATACATCTAAAGACTTGGAACGCTGAGCGGGGCCGCAAGGCATGGAACGTTATTGGCTACTTATGGCTTGAACTTGGTAATGTTTGGGGGTTTGGATCAGTTATTTGCTCGAGCGTGGAAGTCCTACAACGATCACTCATTGGCTAGGGTGGTATTATGCTGTTATGCTATTGGTCAAAAGCTGTCGTTACGTTGAGATTGAGCGGGATGGGTGTATGAGTGGGGCGGAATGGTGGACGAAAATATGGTACTATCAATGAATACGATGAACGTCATACAATATACCCCTTCCATGTCCACCGTCTTGGCATGTCCACGTACAGCTACCAGTCCACCGTCGCTCTTCGAAACATCTGTGCTTTTCGCGCCGTTCAAAACACTCGGTTTCCGATATGACACTTGGGGGCCGGCCGGCGGTGTGTGTTGTACACTCCCGGCCGACACAGCCCCATCACGAAACCACGTCGCCCCTAAACACGTCAATCATATATGTTGTCAACATACACACAAAATACTGTTAATTATGCTCTATTATTCTGCTTGCTTATTTCGAGTCATTTCGTTACAAACACACGCCTTAATGCCTAAAGCACATGTCTCGCATCATGCGTTCGCATGATTTTCTGCATGAACGGCTATCACCTGCTTTTCAAACGACGCCTCATATGTGATATGCTAAGCGAGAACCGCGATAGTGGTAACTAAGACTATTCGTTCAGAACGTGTCTTGTGAAATGCATTGGATGGTTTTTTCTACCAAAGGGGCGGTTTGGGTTGTGAACATGACAAACGTTCAATATTGCGATATTCAATGAGTGACAAATTGTTACTGGAGGCATGTAGGATTCGTGATACAATAGCTTGGACACTTGTCAGTCTCTCGAACTTTAGTGTATAGTTATGTGGCTTTATGTAGATACTTCATTCTGGAATTATGGTAAGCAAATATACGCTACATCAACGTATTGGAAAATGGAAGAAACAATCAATGATCACATCCGAAGTCGTAGACCAACCCAAGCTATTATTTAGAATGCGCTGTAAATCTGAGATAATATCACTCTCGAGTCACCTATCAGCAAATTGAATGTCTATTTCGTGTCGCACAGTCTCCGATTCGCATTCTAGCCTAAACGTTTGATAGTACAAATCCTGTATCCTCCACCATCATCGCGCAGTTTCATTCCTGTGGCCCAACATTCTGGTAAAGTTACCTCTCTTTTGAGAGATATGGGCGAACACGAACATGTGAATGAACTAGGTTACTTGTATAGGGCCACTTCTTCCAACAAGATGACGCACGTTGCGAAGCAAGGTCGCACTGACAGCTGTCAAGATTGCCTGTGAGTCGTGACATGAATGTGAAGTGACAGACGGATCATAATGATTGGTTATAGACGTGGAGACTGATATCGCAATAATAGTACCGTTTATTGGCTATTTCTGAGAGGAGCACGAATGATTTCAAGCCGGAGATGAAGCGGCAAATGGATAACAGCGGGACTTGAACACACCAGCAATATTTTTTTTTAGGTTAGTATGTGAGATTGACCTGAAGAATGCTCCCTTGTGAGTCGATGATGAGAGAACCATCACCAGCGGTGCTCTCAAGGGCATGCGAAGTATGTATCAAAGTAGTAAGTTAGTATGGAAAAGACGCACCAAAGCAGGAAGAAATCATTTTGTCAGATACAAATATGATTAAATTAATAGAACCAGCGAGGTATTCAAGCAGGCCGATGTCGTTCGATCAGTTATTTATACGAGAAATTAGAAAATAGACCAGCTGTCCTCCTACTGTGGTACATATCATTTGATACAGGGAATGTAACCCAAGAGGCGAGAGACCGGTCACGCTCTGTGTATGTTTCAGTACTGGAGCATGCCTGTGATAGAGACAACATAATGTAGAGCCTTCGAGATGACTGTACAAGGCTCGTCGCATAGTAGTTGATGACCAAATTGCAAGTATAAAAATTGCGTATATATGACTTGCGAATGATCAGGTGTGCGTCGAGTGTTCCGAAGTGAAATAATGAGATGTTCTCATCGGTGTAATGGAAATGGTCGTTGTTGTGATCCGTATAGACGGCAGGTAAGGTATCGATGGCGAGAGGTTTATTCCTCATCAGCCTCACGCTTACCACCAATAGGCAGGCCGTAAGGACGTTTTGGGGGTTTCCACGCAGCCACAGGAGCAGCTTCACGCTTATCACCAATAGGCAGGCCGTAAGGACGCTTCGGAACGCCAGCCTCGGCTTCAGCTTCGGGGGCAGCCTCACGCTTGCCGCCAATGGGTAGGCCGTAAGGACGTTTTGGAGGTTTCCACGCAGCCTCAGCCTTAGCTTCACGCTGGCCGATAGTGGCAGGGACAGCGGCGGCAGCAGGTAGTGGCAGAGCGGCACCGGAGACGGTGACAGCCAGGATGGCAGAGGCGATGATCGCGTTGATTCTCATAGTGTCGAATTATATGTCGGGTGATAATGAACGGTAGAGGTCGGGACAGATCGACTATTGACCAAGTGATTGATAGTGGTCCTTAAAGTTGTAGTCGGTGACGAAAGATACTGGTGCAGGAGTAGAGGAGTATTTAAGTACGATAGACATAGACACACAAAGGCATTAGTTGAAGGCATTCCACCTCGCTACTGATTCCGAATTGCATGAATAGACCACTCTATTGCTCAATAGGTTTGTGGGGTGAAGGTCAATGGGCATTCGTCCAATAGCGCAGTGGATACTCAGGTGAATGCGGGTTCCTCAAGGGATCACTCCGAACAGAGTAGGTCAAGGCCGTACCCATATCTTTCAGCGTAAACGAGCTCTTCCAGACCATAAAAGGCTCAATAGTTCACGGTTGACTTGCTCCTAGAAGGCTTTTAGCTTCCTGCGCCGGACGGCACAATGCCTAGAACACAAAGCACATACGTTTTCCTTGGAGACTCAACAAGGGATTGCTTTACTGTTGAAAGAGGGCGTCAGGGTGGAGGTCTGGTGTTGAGGTTACCTCTTTTGGGTCTGAATAGCTTCAATAGAAATTGGAGGCTCGGCGTGGATTGCGTGCGTTCGGCTTTGGAGTGATGGTGTGCCACCCGTTTGAGCTGAGCGAGTTATTGGACTGAGCGATATCGTTTGCAAGATAAGCTAAAGTCCCTCCCTAAGTGCTGGGACACCCCCCGTGCTGGGACAAATGAGGGGTACTTTGACTTTCAGCACTTCGCTTTCTTCGCAAACCCTAATAATCGCTGTAAGTTTGTGTCAGCGATATACTAGAGCTGTTTGTACGCTTATCCCAATACTCTCAACTAAAAATTACGTTGCTATTGCTGCCCTTCTTGCAAACGTTACAAACGACCTTTATTGTGTGCACAACAGCGTGGCCCTGCTATCGCACTACTTTCAACCTTTAGGGACCCGCTACACGTACAGAAGAAATGTTTCTAGCCCTAAGAAGCCCCTGTTAGCACAGGAAACCATAATCAGCCTCGCGCCTGCTGTGGTGCCTAAAACTATGCAGGGTCGTCAGGCGGATCGCTACTTCGGCTAGCGGTAAGGGACCCCGCGCGCCTCACGTAATCATCTTCGATGTAATTTACAAACTGTGGCTGACAGGCTTGTGGCTGTGCATAGCCTCGGCTTTTGTGTCGATGCTTGAGATATTCAAACTCCGGCGTTAAAACAGTGATTGAAGCAACTACTGACAGCGCTGCGCGAGACTAGATTTGCTTCTCTATCTCTATGATCATTATACAGCTAGTCTAACATTAATACATCCGCGCTACAGGCGCTCTCCATGGCCCTGCAACTTCGCTCGTCCTTGCGACTTGGGTAACTGGCTCTGGTACACACAACTCCTGCTCAGCGACCTTACGCTTACGACCGCGCTTTGCTTTGCCATTCCCCGCGATGGCTTTGTCTCTGGCCGCACGCGTTGCTCGCGCCTCCTCGAGATCCTCATAACTCATCACCTTCGCCTTTCCCTTGCCTAGCACAACCGATGGAGTCGCTCGGCGGACCTTAGCTTCGCTGTTGATCTTAGCCAAGAGCCGGTTGTGGTCCTGCAGGAGACCTTGTTTGGCGAAGGAGATTTGAGCCGCACTCGCCAGCTTCTGTACACGTCTCCGTAAGCGCTTTTCACTTAGTTCATCGAGCCTGGAAGCGTCCTGTTTGATCAGATCATGCAGCGACATCAGACCATCTGCATTCACCGGTGTTGCCGGTGTCACTGGTACTTCGTCTCCAGGGTTGGGTCGCATAATCTCACTAGCTGTAGAAACCGTAAGACCTACAGGCGGCTTTGGTGTGTCTCGTAGCACTCTCTGTGGGTTGAACGGAAACAAGCCACTTGCGGACCAAGCAGCCGTGATATTCCGCCTCGTGAACGCCTTTGTTCTTGCGGGGTCGTATAACGAGGTGAAGTCCTCTTTTCCGACCGTGTCTATGCCCCCTCGGTTCAGTCGTTCGACCTGGTCGCGATAGGCCGTTTTCAAGGGCGCAAACACTCCAACGTCGCACGGCTGCAGCTTATGGGAAGTGTGAGAGGGGAGGCGGCACAGCATGATGTTGTTACCAAAGCAAAACTCCAGGATCTCTAGTGTTTCGTGAGTTCCGAAGCCGTCGCAGATTAGCACTCGTGGTTTCCCACTAGCTAGCTGTTTAGTCTGAGGATCAAAAACACGCGTAAGCCACTCTAGGCAGACCTTAGAGTCGTTATATCCGTTGTCAGAGAATCCATAGTGCCATCCAGGCGTCGGATACGTAGTCCAGTTGCTTCGGTGGGTCGAGGCTGGCCAGATGATAAGAGGCAGCAGCGCTCTCCCGTCAGCGCTTATGCACTCGACCGCAGTCACCATCGTCCGCTTCATGCCAGCACCTCTGTAGTCACGTCTATCGTCCTTACCTGCCAGGACTTTGACCGAGCCAAGCTTGCTCAGCATGACGCCCGTCTCGTCCATATTGTACACGTTCTCCGGCAGTACCGCTGCGTCCTGCAGCACCTTGCCGATCACCTGAAACCATTCTACTACCTTATCGTATATGCTGTTCTCGTGGCGCTTCCAGTCTATCGACCTAACTCGTCTCGCTTTGAGTTCGGGATGGCGTTTCTCGAAGGCGCGCGCCCAGTTCTTGCCCGGAGGCTTGATCGGATTATTCGTTGTGGACCGCCGGCGGGCGATGCTGAAGGCTAGCGTAGGTATGTACTTGATCCGAACGGGTTGTCCAAGGCTAGACATTAGCAGCAAGAACGAAACAAGCGCTCTCTCTTCCTCTACAGTAAGGTATTGCTGGCGTTGGGCTTTCACTTCCTTTGACGTCCCTCCGTGCTTACGACGATGAAGGGTGGAGCGAGGAACATGGCTCTTCTCTGCAACAGCGCGGTATGTCCCAGGCTGGTCTGCGAAGAAGGCTGCCGCCAGTGCCTGACTGGCACGATCCATAATCGCGAATATGGTGATAACCTGGCAGAGAGGCAGTAACGAACAACCTCAACGTAACGAGAGTGAGCCTGCCGCTCTGATGACATGCAGCAGGGGAACGAACAAAGCCTGTTCTAAAAATAGCAAGCACACAACGCAGCCTCGAATGGTGCCATTATACTGTACCTAGCCTGATAAGTTGTAGATGTGCTCAAACAATCGCACCGCACTGCAAATGATCGCATAGTTTAACGTTCGTATAGTGTCCTGCTCACTTCTCAAGCGCACCCTCGAGATAGGCAAGCGGCTTCCGGCGAAACATACTTCCGAAGGCTTCCTGGCCCCGCGCCGCATGCAGCAGCGCTTAGCTGTGCCAGCCCTCTCAGCCTCGTGCACCTGACAATGGATCGCAGCACTACTCTCAGCCTGACAGCGGCGTGGCTGCTTCGTCAGCCCACCAAACCGCGAAGCGCCATCAATCAGTCTGCTTCATGTTCCTCGCAGACCTCGCATCATGGACGGCCTTTCGGGCGCAGCAAGCGTCATCGCAGTAATCGACATATCCGCCAAGATCGCCTCGCTCTGCTACCAGTACTCCGTGGCTGTCAAGGACGCGATAGATGATATCGAGCGTGTGCGGAGAACGGTCAGCGATATCACCCACGTCCTGGAGAAGATTAAGCAGCTCCTCGGCAGCCAGGACAAGACGCGGCTCTCTACCACCCAGGACCTGTTTAGCTCGCTCGAACAATGCCGAGAGGAGCTGAAGAGCGTAGGAGCAAAGCTAGATCCAGGAAAAACTCGCAAGACTATGAGTCGTTTTGGCCTCCGTGCGCTCAAATGGCCGTTTACAAGTAAGCAGGTGGACAAGATCGTTTTAAACTTGCAAGGATACGAGCAGACATTCAGCTTAGCACTGCAGGTCGACCAGACGTAAGCTTCGGTACCCAGATCTGTCGTACGCAGATCCAGCCTCTCACTGACCATGCAGAGTTGTTGTGTTCAACATAGACCAGAAGCTTGATCTGGCCAAACTGCCTGTCGCGATAGGCGCCTCCTTCAACTCCCACAACGAAGAGCACAACGCACGATGCCTACCGAACACCCGCACCGAGCTGCTAGACGAGATCACAAGATGGGCGAACAACAAGGATGGCAAGTCGATATTCTGGCTGAGCGGCATGGCGGGCACGGGAAAGTCTACGATAGCGCGGACGGTCGCTCAGTCGTTCGCCAGTCGAGGGCAGCTTGGAGCCAGCTTCTTCTTCAAGAAAGGCGAGGGCGAGCGCGGCAACGCCTCACGGTTCTTTACCACCATCGCCACCGATCTAGTTGCCTGCGAGCCAGGGATGCTGCCTGGTATTAGGAAGACGCTCGACGAGAACCCGACGATCTCACACAAGGCCCTGAAAGATCAGTTCGAGAAGCTGATCTTGCAGCCACTCTTGGGAATAAAGCAGGCTCGTTCGCAGGTCGTGGCGCGTGTTATCGTGATCGACGCGCTGGACGAGTGTGAGCGAGAAGCAGACATTCGAACGATCCTCCAGCTGCTCGCTCAGACAAAAGACGTTCGCCCGGTGCCGCTGCGGATTGTGGTGACTAGCCGGCCCGAGCTCCACATCCGCCTGGGCTTCAGAGAGATGCCGAACGGCACATACCAAGACCTCGTCCTCCATGAGGTACTAAGGAGCACAATTGAACATGACATCCGTCTGTTCCTGGAGCATGAGCTTGGTGTGATACGAAAAGAACGCATGCTAGCCTTGGGCTGGCCTGCGCAACAACAGATCATGGCCTTGGTTGAGCTAGCTGTGCCACTATTTATCTATGCTGCTACCGTATGTCGATATGTTGGCACAAAAGGAGGCGACCCTGAAGAGTACTTGAACAAGGTCTTGCAGTATCCGAAGGCGGCTTTTTCACAGCTCGACCGAACCTACCTTCCCGTCCTAGACCAATTGCTTGTTGAGCAGGAAGAAAGAGATAGAGAAGACTGGCTGCACGCCTTCCGTGGACTCGTAGGTAGCATAGTCATTTTAGCGAGCCCACTTCCTCTCGGCTCCCTTTCGCGCCTTCTTCAAGTTCCACAGAAGCAAGTCGAACGTCGGCTGGACGCCCTGCACTCCGTTCTCAGTGTTCCCAACAGTGAGGATATTCCGATCAGACTCCTGCACTTGTCTTTCCGCGAGTTCCTCGTCGACCCCCAAAAACAGGGAAAGAGCCTGTTCTGGGTGGATGAGAAAAGCACACACAAGAAGCTTGCATCTCGCTGTCTTGAGCTTATGTCTGGATTAACCGGCCTACACCAAGACATGTGCAGCCTTTCAGAGCCTGGGGTCCTAAGAAGCGAGATCGACGAAGGTACGATTGCTAGCAGTCTGCCACCTGACCTACAGTATGCGTGTCGTTACTGGGTGGATCATCTCAAGCAGGGTCAACAAAACATCGTAGACGGAGACATAACGCACCTCTTTCTGCAGCAGCACCTTCTGCATTGGCTCGAGGCTATGAGCCTCATGAGGGAATCGAGCAGATGCGTCGACTCACTCGACAGCCTGCAGGCACTTGCGAGCGTAAGATCTCTCTAAGATGTTTCTCTCTTATGTTGCTAACGTGCAACGCAGCCATCCGCAAAGTTATTTGCAGCCTTTCTTCACGACGCTAAGCGGTTCGTGCTGCGATTCCAATCTGTGCTTACAGATGCGCCGCTGCAGATCTATTACTCCACGCTCGTGTTTGCACCAAAGAACAGTCTTGTACGACAAACCTTTGCAGACCAAGTGCCAGAGAAGGCCAAGATGCTGTCTGAAACAGAAGCAGATTGGGACGCGTGTCGCAGCACGCTCGAGGGCCATTCCTCGGAAGTCACAGCGGTGGCCTTCTCGCCCGACGGGCAGCTGGTCGCCTCGGCATCCTACGACAACACAGTACGGCTGTGGGAGGCAGCGACAGGGACGCACCGCAGCACGCTCGAGGGCCATTCTGATGATGTCAGTGCGGTGGCCTTCTCGCCTGACGGGCAGCTGGTCGCCTCGGCATCTGGCGACAACACAGTACGGCTGTGGGAGGCAGCGACAGGGACGCATCGCAGCACGCTCGAGGGCCATTCCAAATTTGTCACGGCGGTGGCCTTCTCGCCAGACGGACAGCTAGTCGCCTCGGCATCTGGCGACAACACAGTACGGCTGTGGGAGGCAGCGACAGGGACGCACCGCAGCACGCTCGAGGGCCATTCTGATGATGTCAGTGCGGTGGCCTTCTCGCCTGACGGACAGCTAGTCACCTCGGCATCTGGCGACAACACAGTACGGCTGTGGGAGGTAGCGACAGGGACGCATCGCAGCACGCTCGAGGGCCATTCCTTTGATGTCAGTGCGGTGGCCTTCTCGCCAGACGGGCAGCTAGTCGCCTCGGCATCTTGGGACAACACAGTACGGCTGTGGGAGGCAGCGACAGGGACGCATCGCAGCACGCTCGAGGGCCATTCCGATGTTGTCAGTGCGGTGGCCTTCTCGCCAGACGGGCAGCTAGTCGCCTCGGCATCTTGGGACAACACAGTACGGCTGTGGGAGGCAGCGACAGGGACGCATCGCAGCACGCTCGAGGGCCATTCCGGGGGAGTCAGGGCGGTGGCCTTCTCGCCTGACGGACAGCTAGTCGCCTCGGCATCTTGGGACAACACAGTACGGCTGTGGGAGGCAGCGACAGGGACGCATCGCAGCACGCTCGAGGGCCATTCCTATGATGTCAGTGCGGTGGCCTTCTCGCCAGACGGGCAGCTAGTCGCCTCGGCATCTGGCGACAACACAGTACGGCTGTGGGAGGCAGCGACAGGGACGCATCGCAGCACGCTCGAGGGCCATTCCGGTGGAGTCAGGGCGGTGGCCTTCTCGCCTGACGGACAGCTAGTCGCCTCGGCATCTTGGGACAACACAGTACGGCTGTGGGAGGCAGCGACAGGGACGCATCGCAGCACGCTCGAGGGCCATTCTGATGATGTCAGTGCGGTGGCCTTCTCGCCTGACGGGCAGCTGGTCGCCTCGGCATCTGGCGACAACACAGTACGGCTGTGGGAGGCAGCGACAGGGACGCATCGCAGCACGCTCGAGGGCCATTCCAAATTTGTCACGGCGGTTGCCTTCTCGCCAGACGGGCAGCTAGTCGCCACGGCATCTGGCGACAACACAGTACGGCTGTGGGAGGCAGCGACAGGGACGCATCGCAGCACGCTCGAGGGCCATTCCAACTATGTCTACGCGGTAGCCTTCTCGCCCGACGGGCAGCTGGTCGCCTCGGCATCTGGCGACAACACAGTACGGCTGTGGGAGGCAGCGACAGGGACGTGTCGCAGCACGCTTGGAAGCCCTTCTAAGTACATAACTTATATTAAGTTCTCGTCAGATGGCCAGGTACTTCACACGGACCAAGGCGATATTCCTTTGCCTCAAACTACTGTTGTCACATCGCTCCCAAGGCCGCAGCCGCAGTCCTCCTACGCTGCAGTGCAGGATCAGTGGATATTGCGCAACCAGCAACGCGCCTTGTGGCTCCCGCCAGAGTATCGATCAAGCTCGACTGCAGTATGCGGGGACATAGCTTGTCTAGGGCTTGTATCTGGTCGTGTGGTTCTGCTTAGGATCTCCTAGCATTGTGCATTAATAGAATCGCTTTATTACAAGCACAGTGAAGGCTTTGCGGCGTAGTATAAACAGTTACTATATATTACAGGCCTTGTTAATAGCGATCTCGCCTAAGAACGATCTTCGCGCAAGAGTTTATCCGCTTAAATCATCCGCTAGAGCTAAGCCACAGCTGTGACAGCCGCTAGAAATAGATTACGCGAAGACGATTACATAAAATGTGCAGGGCCGCTTAGCGTAAGCCGAGGTACTAATCGCGACTGCGATCTTGCATAAACATAGGCGTTGCAGGCGCCACGAAGCTAAACATACCTTGCCACGCTATCGCTAGGTCTCTTAGGCATAGCCGCGATTTTCCAGGATCTTGTAGACTCTACAAGCGTTCGTGTAGCGCTGTAGTAAAGCATTGCTATTTTGCACAGAAGAAAGGTCTACTATAACTTACGCAAGGAGAGCAGTAACAGCGCTGTAATTTTTAGTTAGGTGTGTTAGAGTAGGTTAACAGATAGCTCTAGTATAGAGATATTATAATTTTCTTAAGATTTCTAACGTGCGCGCAGAAAGCGAAGTGGTAGAAGTCAAAGTACCCCTCATTTGTCCTAGCACGGCGGGTGTCCCAGCACATAGGGAGGGACTTTAGTAGAGGATTCAAGGCTGAGGTATTGGCGAATGTCCCAGTGGCTTGCATGAAGACGAGCCACCCATGGAGATATGGGCGAGCAGTATGACGCACATCAGTGCACATGGAGATTGATACTATCTGAGCAATAAAAATGAACAGATTCCGCGTGCATTGATGATTTTGACTCTTTCCGACTATGTGATCTGTAAGGTGGGATTATGTCCGCTTTGTGTTGTAGGACAACACCGCGAGCGATTATGCGAAAGGTCCAAACGAAACACTTCTTAGAATGAAAAAGTTAGCCTATGTGCTTCCTCCAGTCTTCGGCTTGGGGTAGAGTGAGGCGATGCTGCCGGAAAGGCGAAAGGGTTTCTGTTGCTCCCATGCATGCGTTTGCGAGCGCCAAACATGATGTGCATCTCCGGAACGAAGCTCATGCATACGTACTCCTTGCTGTATGCCGCGTGCTGACTTACCGGTTCGAGGTTCTCAGGTCGCAAATTGTGCTTGTTGGGCTGTGGATATGTTAGATCTGCTTGCAAGATGAGTCTCTGTTAGAGAATTGTCAACATTGGGTCGCCTGCATTATGAAGATTAGTGTATATAGACTGTTGGAGATCTATTCTATATCGACTGCCACATCTTGCGACGTCGATGTGAGGGTGATGGAATGGCACGATGTGGCGAGATCTTGCCCATGTACTTGGGCAGCTAGCTGATTAAGCTAGCGCCACACGTGGCTTCGCGCCAACTTTTGGCGCGGGGGATTGTCGCGAATTAACGTGAGACGCCCATGGAAGCATGTATTCTAGAATAGCCAATTCAACGGCGCCTACTATCAGAAGAGCGTTTTCGAGCTTCTCGAGACGATCACTATGGGCTTCGTCGTCTTGCCATAATGGTAGCGGTTGTGGTCGACGACATATCACCACACAGACTTCCGAAAAGCCCTACTACATCACCACACCAATATTTTACGTCAATGCTGCCCCTCATGTCGGCCACCTGTATACCATGGTCCTCACAGACGTCATCAAGCGGTGGCATGTGCTCAAAGGAGAGACAGCATTGCTATGTACTGGGACAGATGAACATGGCCTGAAGGTAGCTTTACCTGACAATATGAAGGTATTGCACTAACACTACAGTAGGTCCAACGAGCAGCTGCCAAGGCTGGCATTGATCCGAAACTTTTTTGTGATAAAGGCGCCGAGATCTTCAGGGTACGCACGTACGCATAGTGGACCTACACCATTGTTGCTTACCTGCAAAAGGAACTTGCACGGAAAGCCGAGATCACGAACGATCATTTCGTCCGGACGACGGATAGAGAACACAAGGAAGCTGTCGAGTATGCATGGGTATGAGACTCCGGAGCAGCTGATGTAAAGCCACGGTAGCTGATGGCAGACAGTTCCTGTTGCAAGAGAAGGGTCTCATATACGAGCAGAAGCATGAAGGGTGGTACTCAGTCACCGACGAATGCTTCTACCCACAGTCAGCTGTACAACTGTATCTCGACCCACCGACAGGAAGGAAGATTATGGTATGCGCTGCCTAGTAAACGGTAGTTGTCTGAGCTGATCAACCTGCAGACATCCATTGAAACGGGCAGCGAAGTAGAATGGTCTTCGGAGATCAACTATCATTTCCGGCTCTCGGCATTCCAGGACAAACTGCTGGAGTTCTACAAGAATAATCCCGAGTGGATAGCACCAGAATATCGCATGAAGGAGGTTGTGCAGGCCGTTGAATCGGGATTGGAGGACTTGTCTATATCTCGACCATATGAACGACTCGCGTGGGGTGTCCGAGTCCCTGGAGACGACTCACAAACCATTTATGTATGGCTTGACGCGCTCATGAACTATGCGACCAAGGCAGGATACCCATGGGCACCAGGCCGTGAACAAGCTGGAGGCTGGCCCGCAGACTGTCATGTCATTGGTAAAGACATTGTTCGATTCCACTGCATTTACTGGCCGGCCTTCCTCATGGCGCTTGGACTTCCCCTTCCGAAGAAGATTTTGACACACGCTCACTGGACACTTGGGGGGTCTAAGATGTCCAAATCAACTGGAAGGGTTGTCGATCCATTCAATGCCCTCAATCGATATGGATCGGATGTTATGCGCTTCTACATGGTTCGTGAAGGCGGTATACAGGACGATGCAAACTACGATAATCGTCGCATCATCGGATTGTACAACACGTTCTTGAACCAGCAGCTTGGCAACCTAGCTTCTCGTGTTACACGAGGCAAGAAATGGAGCGTCCGAGGCGCAGTCGAACGTGTTGGTGGAACGCCAACGGAGGAGTGGGCTGAAGGACCCGGCTCCAGATTCTGGAATAATTCTCTCGCCAAGATTGCCTGGCAAGTAGACGCATCTTTTGATGCCTACGATCCGCGCAAAGCTGTGTCTCAAATTGCTGAATTTATTCGAGGAGTAAGTCTGACTTTTTTTTCGGATTGCCACTCTACTGACAAAGCTTAGTCAAACTGGTTCTTTCAGATGTCGAAACCCTGGGACAAGGTTCTAGTCTACGGCCCCGGCGAGCCCGGCGAAGATGTCGACAGGATTGTCTATCTTGCTGCTGAAGCACTTCGCATTACAGGCATCTTACTACTGCCATACATGCCGAACAAGGCAAGAATGCTACTAGACCAGTTGGGCGTACATCACGATCGGAGAACCTTTGAATACTGCAAGCCTGGCGCTGATCTAGACTATGGAACTCCATTCGTAGAGCTGGGCACAGCACACAAGGGCGTGCTGTTCCCACCACTGCCAAGTGAAGAGTAGGAAATGTATATTAGTGTGATTATCCTAGAGCTGAACAAATGTATATTATTTCGCTTATTAAAGGCGATGCAATTGTCAAATCCGATTTTGCTTTGACATCCTAGACGCTCTGGCTTAACTACCAAAGTTATTGTTGTCTGCAACTATTATCTTCGCAAGGCATAGCCTTTAATAGAAAGCCCAGGTTACAATCTAAGATGAAAGCGACCGAGGCTTGCTGATCACATGTTGCTGAGGCCTAATGCCAAGACTACATCATCGCGCGAACTTTTGGATTTCCGCGCGAACATTTCCCACGGCAGCGCAATCACCAACTTCTCTCTACCTTTCACGCTGTTCGCCACCCCTCTTCGCGCCGGAACTGTCGAAATTCTGCGAATTCTCTCACAACGACTGTAAAGATACAATAAAGCATCGCGCGCGTTTCCACACGAGATCAGCCCATCATGGCCGCCCCCAAATCGGGCGGCTTCAAGATGTCACTGGGGGCACTGAAGACAAAGCCAGGACTCAAATCTTCTCTCGCACAGAAAGACACAAAAAAAACCAAGCTTCTACTTGGTGACGACGAACCAGACGATTCGAATACGCAACAAGAGATCACAGGATGGGACGCAGCGGAGGGCGGCGCGCTTGATGCCAATGAGAAGAAGGAGAAGGAGGGACCTCGCATCATTCCAGCTCTGCCGAACCGCGATTGGCGCGCAGAGGCACGGCGAAAACACCTTGCGAAAGCGCCACACCAACAATCGCAGACCGAGACTAAGACTGTCGATGAGAGCAAGATGGAGGAGCCGAAGGTGCAATATGGACTTACAATTATCAAGAAGGATGAATCACAAGAGATCGGAGCTGCAGAGGCTGGAGCGCCAGAGCCTATGGAGATGAAGCAGGACAACCTTACAGAGGAGCAGCGACTTGAGAAGAAAGCTCTTGATGCGCTGATTAGCGGTAAATCCACCGATAATGACCTCGTCATTCCCGTGCAGACGGAAGAAGATGCGTTCTTGAATGACGTTCACAATGCGCCTGACGCTCCCACCCTCGAAGCCTATGAAGCTACACCCATTGAAGGATTTGGCGCGGCGCTGCTTCGTGGTATGGGCTGGAAAGATGGAGAAGAAATTGGCAAGAACGGCGTTGCTGCGAAACCGAAAGAAATCAAGCGGCGGCCAGCGCTACTTGGCATAGGCGCAAAGGAGGAGGCTGCTGTAGGCGTTGAGCTTGGTGAATGGAGTGGTGGGAAGAGCAAAGGGAAGAAGGTCACGCAGACCTATAATCCCGTCACGTTGCGGAACAAGCACACTGGCGAGGTTATAACAGAAGAGGAGCTCAAGGCAAAACTTGAGCGACAGAGCATGATCCCGGACGAGAAGGCACCGAGAAGCAAGAGCAGATACCACGATGACAGCGAGGACGATGAGCGAAGGCGTGAGAAGCGGAGAGAGAGACGAGATGACCGCGAGCGCGACCGTCGACGAGATGGCGATTACGATAGCGAACGGAGGAAAGATAAGGACCGTCGACGAGACAAGGACGATTACTATGATAGCGATCGCCGCCGAGACAATCGGAAAGAT